CAAATAGAAAGCTCTCTGTGCCTTCAAATGCTCTTGGGCAAATTTAAGCAGAGGTGGGAGAGGGGGGACGAGGTTGGAATTTGGCAGAGGTCGCTTCATGCATGCGCAGCCTTGCATCAAAGTTTGGTTTTGGGGACGGTTTATTTTCCGAACTTTTTCCTTTCTTACTTGGTGGTGTGAACGCTTTTTATTCTCAGAGGCAATCAAACTGGAAGTTTGTTTTTGATGCGAATCAAATTTGACCGCTGTGTTTATCAAGATTTTGCATTTTCTTTTTCCATTTTTTATTTCTATGGCAAATTAAAGTTTCTGTACCGTACGCGACTTTCAGCTCTGGTAGGAGCGTAATAATAGAGAAGACCCATGACCTATCGCCCAGGAAGAACCCGCAATTGAACTAGAACTATATCTGTAATGTAAAAAAAAGGAGAATTCTGAGACGTTTTAGGACTGTGAGCGCCTATTTTACCATTCTCCTCGCAGCGCGCGAGATTGCACGTCAACCGAGAGTTTTAGGAATAGACCGGGACGAAGTAGTTTCCAGGCACCGGCAGATCAGCCCCGCTTTGCGCATTTCTCGCCACACGACTGATAATGGAGCCCAGAGAGCTACGGAGTCAATCAAATTGACTAATGTACTGAGGTGAGCACTTCGCTTTTTAAAGTCTTTTAAAAAAGTTAAAACTGAACTTACACATGGTTTAGGTTATCATGGTTAGCTACTAACTCAGCAACCGAATTCAAAGAAGCAACGAGCTTTGAAATATAGGGAAATCTTGCAAAGATCGTTTAGCGTAAAAATAACGACAGGCCGTCAAGGCCCTGTGGTTCCTGATAATAATTTTGTGACTTTATTTAATTGCTGTTGAATGAAGTCTTAAATGTAGTCTTTGTATTAAGTCATTTTGCTTCCCTGAGTGAATTACCTTGTGTTTCTAAAGAGACTGCATCATTGGGGCTACATGTTATTGTATGTGCTGCAGTATCGTGATTATTTCATAGTTTTGCATACGAGAGAGATATCTTTATAACATGGTAATGCCATCTCACTTTTGTTGCATATGATTGTTTCAAAATTGAATTTGACATAAATATTTACGGAACTGAAATGGGTTGATCAAGTATGCCTAAAAATTTCGGAACTCTACAGTGAGAATTTGCTGCTTATCTCTTTCCTATGGAGGGGGTTGTGGGGGGCGGGGCATAAGGGTTGTCCAAAAACTACAAAACTGTGAAGAGAAACATAATAACCCGCAAATTATACCCTATCAAAATTTGCCGAAATTCCGAAACTAGACGAAACGTCTTATCGAGACAGTATCAGAAGGAGAAAAAAGAAGAAAAAACACCGTGTTTTTTCTTTATTTTAAATTTCTTCAAAGAATAGTCTCTTGTACAAGATCCTGCATGAGAGAAATAAGGATACTCAAACATTCACTGTTACATGGCGACACTGTTCCCATCGGATATTACTTAACGGTTATAAATTATGACAGAAGCGGACGGCTTTTTCACCCTGAAGATGACATCATGTCGAAAACGTTTGGTGTTTTACTTGTTCGATATCCATAAAATTCGCAAATATTGACAAATATTTACAAGGCTAAAAATGTTTAAAAGTAATTTTATGGATATCAAACATTAAAGTTATTTTCCTGTGCAAGCATAGCTTCATCAATCTTTTTTAAATCACTGGAGTCACACCCGGCTATAAACAAGTGCAACATGTATTGCACCTTTTAATCACATTTAGCGTAACAACGTATACTTCTGCTTTGGTAGCAATGAAACCGGTTTGAGCGATCGTAACCCAAGTTGATCGCTTTTTTTTCCGATGGCAAAGCTACCAAAGGAATATGTGTGTACATGCATATCGTCTTCGGATAATTTTAATGAAAATCCTAGACTAATGCATGAATATTCTGCACCACTTTTTGTGACGGCTTCTTTTTAATAAAATCGTAAATGAAAGAATTCAGTAATACAAAGATTAAGCACCGCGCCGAAATGTATTACTCAGTTTTTTAGAATAGAGCTTGCTAGTAATCTTAGATAATCTTCAGTAAATTCTTGTTTCGAATTAAATTAAACAGATTTTTCCAAAGGGAAGCTTGTCAACACTGAAGAATTAGCAGGCTTTTGGGCTGGAAAAGAATGTTGGACAAGACACAAGTTGTATTTCTCAGCTTCATGTCAGACTTTAAAAGTAAGTTATGGCTGTTTTGGGCAATAACCAAAAAGGATATTTTCTGATTTATTATATTCTAAAGTTCGAATCAACAAAGGCTTATCTAGATTTCACGAAGCATTACAATATATCGGCACAAAAAGGAAAGGAAACATGAAGTTATAAGAAACACCTTTTTTACTGGTTCCAAAAACATTTGTTTGTTTTTCAAATGTTACTGGAGTTTAAAGTAGATTCACATTCTTTGACCATGCATGCACCATGGTGTTAACGTTTTCGTGCCACGTTCAACATCGTTATTATATTTTATTTCCGGTGGAACTTTTTCAGTGACATTAATGTTATTAAAGATAACAAATCCCTGATTCCGTGCCGCGCACTCTTTAAGCCCGTCCGTTGAGCTTCAACACCGCCGATTTGCATGACAATATGTTAATCGCTACTTCGAAGGTAAATTGCAACATTCTGCCTCACAAATTCCAAAGACCATGTCAATGTACCAAAACACCTCCTTAGATGTTACCAACTCGACAGTCCCACTTCCAAGAGAATACTGTCACCGATTCCAAGATGAGGAATATTTCATGATAAGCTTCTCAGTTACATTGGCGTCTATAATTCTCGAGGTGTTTTGCTGTCCTTTCGTTATTCTTATGAATGTGTTAGTCATAGCTGCAGTTAGGACGACACATAGACTTCAAAGTGCAAGCAACATACTGTTAGCCTCTTTGGCAGGAACAGATCTGCTAACGGGAACTGCCATTTTACCAGCCTCCATCGCAGGGGAAATCTTCGCAATTGCTGGCGGTTCAGTGACAACATACTGCACCTTAGTGAAAAAGATTGTTTCTCCGTTAAGGTTTCTCTCTGTTTTAACGTCACTTTTTCATCTCGGGGTGATTAGCGTTGATCGTTATATCGCTATACGTTATTCGTTGCAGTACTACAACATTGTAACCAAATTTCGCTTAGCGATAACTATAGCATTTTCCTGGTGTTTAGCTGGGGCGTTCACCATTTTCAAATTGTTAGTAGATACTTCGCTTCCTGTCTTCGTCCTCCAAGGTTTGACGTTTACCTGTGTATTAATAATGGTGTATTGTCATGTTTCTGTTTATTTGGTCACAAGACGCCATGAAAGGCAAATCCGAACTGAACAGATTCCTACAGGAGAAGACACTGAACACTTTCTGAAGGAAAAGAAGGCCTGGAAAACCACTGCTGTTATTATTGGTTTTGTTGTGTTGTCTCTGTTACCAGGTGTTTTCATTAATTTTGGTGTAATGTTCACCTGGGATCCGCGATGGCTTGATAGGTTTCGTCCACTTGTACTTTCTTTTCTTATCCTGAATTCATTTAGTAACCCAATCATTTATTGTTTGAGAATTCAAACTATGCGTCAAGCTATGATCAGATTGTTGTTCTTACGAGATAGAAATCGGAGAGAAAACTGACTGCAGCTATACTGAAAAAAATGACGAAAAAAACATTAACAAAGTTAATAAAATTTTGCAAACAGAAAATTGCACATTTTAGTTGGAAATCTTTCATTTACAACTGGGGCTGAAACTATATTGGTGTAAACTGTTCTGCTGAATGTATCTCTAAGCGGTATTTGCAAGATTTTAAAATACCATGCAAGAAAAATACAAATTTCTTGATTTTGACCAGTTTACTAATTAACCAATTTGACACCTTCAGATGATTCAACTTGAAAAAAAAAATTGACATTTCCGTGACTCCAGTCACCGATAACTCATCCTAATAGGAAAATAATTCTTACAGCACTAATATTATATATATTTTTTATTTTTCAAAATGTCCTTTATTTGCCGGTGTTGATACCTTAAGTAGAAAAGCGGCAAAGCCAAAGGCCCCGTCCACACTAGGCCGGAGAAATTTGACAACGGCGTTTTCAATCTGAGAACGCATCAAATGTTTTCCGTCCACACTACGCCGGAGAAATTTGACAACGCAACAATCAGCGGCCATTTTGGATTTGTTTTTGAAAAAATATCGGGCAGTCATCAGTCATCGTGACGGATTAGTGTGGACGGTAGGCCTAACTGTAGAAATAAAGCTGCCTTTTAGTATTCATCCGGCGCAGTGTGGACGGGGCCAAACCAGCGTGCCTCAAGTTTTTTGAAGGTGTGGGGAATATGAGCACGTGGCATGCATATGGAGAAAGAGATTTATTACTTTTAATATTTTTATTAAAAAATGGTTACAAAGTTACACTATACTGCGCATGGCTCGAGCTTTATTTGAAACCCAAAGATACTACTTTCAAAGCAAATGGACGCGACAACGTTTATTTGGGGATAAAAAGTAAACTCGAAAAGACTGATGTACGCTACTACGTTTGACTCGAACCTAAATGTAATNACTCCAGTCACCGATAACTCATCCTAATAGGAAAATAATTCTTACAGCACTAATATTATATATATTTTTTATTTTTCAAAATGTCCTTTATTTGCCGGTGTTGATACCTTAAGTAGAAAAACGGCAAAGCCAAAGGCCCCGTCCACACTAGGCCGGAGAAATTTGACAACGGCGTTTTCACTCTGAAAACGCATCAAATGTTTTCCGTCCACACTACGCCGGAGAAATTTGAAAACGCAACAATCAGCGGCCATTTTGGATTTGTTTTTGAAAAAATATCGGGCGGTCATCAGTCATCGTGACGGATTAGTGTGGACGGTAGGCCTAACTGGAGAAATAAAGCTGCCTTTTAGTATTCATCCGGCGCAGTGTGGACGGGGCCAAACCAGAGTGCCTCAAGTTTTTTGAAGGTGTGGGGAATATGAGCACGCGGCATGCATATGGAGAAAGAGATTTATTACTTTTAATATTTTTATTAAAAAATGGTTACATAGTTACACTATACTACGCATGGCTCGAGCTTTTTTTGAAACCAAAAGATACTACTTTCAGAGCAAATGGACGCGACAACGTTTGTTTGGGGATAAAAAGTAAACTCGAAAAGACTGATGTACGCTACTACGTTTGACTCGAACCTAAATGTAATTCGGAGATTTATGAAAAATTCGTTGAGACGTGCAGCACGAAAGTGAGCTCCACGGACAAGCGCAAGATACCCAGGGACATTTGCACTTCTTTACCATGATGGCGAACGAGACGCCACCTAACCGCGGGAGCATGGCACCAATGTTTTTTTTGTTTTTTGTTTTTTTGCTGGCGTTTGCGTTGCTGAGAAATAGAATCTCTTTTTCCAAGCCGTCTCTATTAAGCCGTCTCTATTAACGACACGAAAGCGTCTGCCATTGATAAGAAATGAGACATTTTATTGACCTAATTGACCCATGAAGGTTCAACAAAATGAAAGATCTTTCTGACAGGTCTTCCATGGAGCTCAGTATCTGTCAGGATATGGAAATGTTATAATCCTGGCCGAAGGATATCAAGAACTAAAACTCTTCCTTACGTACACTGTAGTTGTATTTTCTCGCATATGTTGGTTAAAGACTTAAGTAAACAGTTGTTAGTTGGAGCAAGACATCCTGAAGACAAATAAAGAGTTAAAGGTTGGGCTCATTTACTTCTTTAAAACTATAGGAAGCCACTTTAATTTTCGTGGGAGCAAATTGCTAGGCAACAAGGAACGCACTTTTCGTCGCTCTACTGACGTAATAGCTTATATATTTTGAAGTACTGACCGGCGTACTGAGGAATACGAGAGGAATCATTTCTGTTGCCCGTATGAAACTTTGTTAAGAAAGGTATTTCTTTCTCTGGTATTCCTGGGGCTTAACTGAGAAGTAAGCTTCATCCATCTGATTTTACAAAGAATAGAAACACAGAGCAACGCGACAGATCAATCCAGGTAAATTAGATTGTCTGTTGACCTCTATGTGTTGAAAAATCACTAGTCAGTGATTGAAAGAACTAAAATTAATTTGTAGCATATGTAGTTAAATGCGACTACTCAGTTTTCGTCGATCAATGATCTATACACGTTAATTTGCTGTCCCTATAGTATAGAATACAATTAATTCGGTGCAGTTCATGTTTATACCCCGGGTTTATACCTAGGCTCGATTTATACCATGAAGCCGGAAAGCTCGGTAAGATAAAAAGGATCATACGAAATGCACCAATAAGGTATAATTTTACATGCAATAATGGTGCCCCACAAAGGAACCGATCGAGAAAGCTAGTAAACTGAGCAATATACCGTCGTATTTTAAAAGTGACGTCTGGGAAAGGAGAGGCTCGAAAATCATGTCGCCAAAAAAGGGATTGTGCCCAATTTATATACTGAGTGAGAGTTTATGAAATTCTTATTTTATAAATCAGCAGCGGGACAGCATTGTCTGCTTTTTATTACCGTTTTGAGCAAAATTAGTTTAGGATCACGACAATGTTGCTGCTAATTCAAGAGTTGTAACTAAACGTGGCATGTATATAAAGTTCAAATTAGAAATTATTGCACCATATACTACACGTTTTGGTTTTGTCGGAAGGTAAATATTCTTTTGTGGTGTTGTTCCGAATATTTTTAGTGCGAGTTTCGAATAATCTTAACGGAAGAAAACATGAAATATCAGGTTGGCCTTATTTCAGGAAATACTGATCAGTCAGGAATATGGCGGTATTGCTTTTGCGGGCAGTCAATACGCCGAGAATTCCGTTATTATCGTCATTTCCTATTAAAAGGCAAAATTCACCGTCTTTCTTTTCTCGTTGCAGTTGTCAGTAGGGTGACGACTAATAAATTTGTGTTACGTGGAATGTGCTGTTTGTGTTTTCTTGAATTGTTTCCCACGCAAACAGACTCTAAAGCATGCAAGGTCGTGATCTACGTTTGCGCAATGCATTAAAACCATGGATATTTATAAAACAATTAGATTATGTGCTCGAGATTAATATCGCGTGACAAGTCAGCCACCACTCATAAATATCGAGAGCGAATATTTTAATTGTTTTAATATAAATATACCAGTTGTTCAAAACTTTACCTAAATCCTCTTCACAGTCACTTCGTAAACGCAAAATGAGGCTATCATTTTGTTAAAAATGGCTTCTTATTATCTACAACAGAATAGAATTGTGTAATCAATCAGAGAACGGTATTCGTGATAGAACGTTTGTAGATTTGTATTGAAAGCTAATATACCTTAAACTGAAAGTCAACAAATATTCCCGTGTCTATGATGCTGTGGAGTCAAATGTATGAAAATAGTGCTTTTGAGTATCATAATTTCCCTTTGCTGCTAAATGGAATCACTGACGACATTACACACATACAATGTAGAGCTGATTTTTCTCACACATTAATTAATCACTATCACTTTTATTTCATATAATTAACAGTTTTCAGACCGCCTGTTACTCATTAAACCATGGAAAAGCAGTGTTAAGCATCTGAAAATGGATAACGAGGTAGTAACACAATATCAACTTGTAGCGGGTAGCGTGCGGAACCCTGCAGAACCCTGCAGGCCTAAGTTTGGGGAACACGCATGCGAGCGCCTCTTCACCAGACTCCTTTCGAAGTATCGCTTCCCTCGCGGATTCCCTCTAGATCTTCGCCTGTCACGCGCGTGACTCAAAGGTGATCCTGCTCGCAAGCAGGCTAACGGGGAACTGTGCAGTTTTCCTGATGTAACTGTGTAAGCCATTAAAATCCAGTTTTAAAATGTGTGAAAATTGCCATCAACTGATCACCGAAGACAAAATTCCTGCGTCATGGCGGCATTCCGTTACCATGGTAAACATTGAAGGATAACAGATCGGGGTATGTTTACAAGGAGCAAGCAGTCCTGATCTTTGTCAAAAAGCTGCTTAGTGATGGATTTGGTTTACAGCACAATTTTGGCAACATCTTCAAACCAAGGGCAGAGTTCAAGTATAAACTGCCTTAAAAGTTGACAGAACTGAGGAAGAAAACCTGCAACTGATACACCGGTTAGAATTGCAAGCAAGCCAGCACGTATGCTTAATGCCTTGCGTAAATTACCTTGTTATACAAAAACCTGAGACCATAAGAGAGCGCGTAGCGAAACAAACATCATTCAGCAGCTTGGCTGGTGCTGTGGCAAACTTAAGAAACAACTCTTCCTTCTTTTGATTTTCAGATGTATTTTACTGCGGCAGCGTCCAGTGAACTAATCATATTGTTTCAACAATGGAGGGCTACCTCTACCCAAGGTGAGTAAGTAGAATTTGGTCAGAATGTGCTGTGGGATTCTAATAATTAACACTTGGTTTATAGCGCAGCCAAATCAGTTTGTGTGCGAGCAAATCTCCGGCTCGTGTATTTCATTGAAGACCTCGCTGTACACTTAAACCTATCACATTACGTTTCTTTGTTTTAGACGGTGTTAATTTTTGCAGTGCTGTGGCTTTATTGCGCTTCATGCGCAGATTGCGGCAAAACAAATTCGCAAAATAAAAACGTAGCAAATTCATTCTTAAGGGCTATTCAGCTATTCATATAGTGTTAGGCAGAGAACGAAACGGAAACGCTCCGAAATGTTAAAAATAAACCTTTCCGCATTCCTAGAATTTTTCTCCATGTAAAGTAAACGAATTAGTGCTAGCTGCCACGAATTAGATTTGGAAAAATTGTCAGTTATATTTCAGAGAGTAACCAGGGTACTTGAGGCGTTGAAATACATATGCTGTATAGAGAAGTGTGTTCAAGTTATACTCGAGGAAAAAAAAAATCGTGTAAGCGTCTTCGAGCTTTCATCGTTCCTAAAATCAAATCGGTTTCACGCGCGCTTATTTCAATATTTGTTTAAAAAAGCTTTCCATAGGCCGCGAAAATTAAAGTTCCTAAACGAAGGCATCGTATAGCAAGCTAGTTTTAAAATGTATTCATGATTTAATTAAAATGTCGGAGTAACATTTTCACCCGAGGAGCTGAGCTTCATTTCTATTTCGAATCTCAGCAGTTCGAGCCATATGCAGACATGATGGGCTTGTCACGCACCCCTCTCCACTAATAAGGCCGTCTCTGTATAAAGAGGCTGAACAAGCCTCAGTATCTCGGGAAAAGGATTTCTGTGATTCCTTCATTTATAATCGAGTATGATGGATGATATATCAGCAGGAAAAAAAAAAAACGTTAAAACACCTCGGTTATGCAAGGTCTCTAAAGCAAAACAACAGTGACCTTCAAGGTTAATCCATATCTTATCTTTTGCAACCACTCTATGTTGTGTTTTCATCCTTAAAACATCCGACCTTGTAGAAGGGCGACGAGCACTTACGTCATTGAGTCCCCTACGTCTTAGGATGCCAAGCCAACTAAGCTTTGCAGTAGGTTTAAGTTTAATCAGTTGGTCAAAAGTTTCGTCTGGCTTTTCGTCTTTCAATCAGATAAACAAACACTACTGCGCGATTGATCACGCCAATGAACTCGGATAAATTTACTATTGTTAATTTGCTCAAAATTGCTTAACGGATTAAACGGCCTACATCCTATGCCTTAATTTTGACACAACATACGAATGTCTTTTCCAATCTCAACCTAGTCGCCCTATAAAGACTATAAACGATGAAAGTTAGTGGATTTTGGATCTTATTTCTCCCCAATTTTCAGAGTGAAACCATATTTAGCCACATTACGGTGCCTGAAAAAAGAGCAGTGAAACTGTCCGAAACGTCGCGCTATAAGAACATTTTAACCTTAGAAAAGTTCCGTGTAGAACAAGATCTACTTTATTCATTTTATATATAACTTGACCTCTTTCATTGCAGCTGTTACTGGTTCTTTTGTGGCCGTTCTAGCCCTGGCAGTGCTGTACGAATGCATGACAGGTCTTCACGTCCACTTACGATCGCATCTTTCTCACCAGGAAAGAGAAAAGACTTTGACAACGAAGAAGTCTGATTTTGAGAACATCAAGTATAAGTAAGATGTCAATAATGTTTGTGACGACCTTTTTTGTGATCAATGTTAACTAGATAACAACTAGATAACAGGTTGATATCAAGTTATGAAAAATAATTACGGTTTGTTTTAGTTTTAACCAGAAAAAAATGTCCACTTGTCCAGACCTGTCCAAAGTTCACTGTAAGAAAGTTGGAATTAATATTGTGGTTGTTGCGCTGAGCCAATTGTCAGCTTAAAAACTTACGAAAACTTTTAACGGACAAGAAGATAATTTTAGAGACAAATGTGAACGAGGCGGGAAATTTAAGACAAACTGATACTGTAACACTTTTAATTTTTCATAAGAGGAACTTAAAATATTTCGAGCAGTGATTGAAAGAGTTGAATGCATTAAAGAAACGTTTCCACATGAACAAATACATTTCTTTTGGTTTGTGCAGGTCGAACGTTTCGATCCAGTTTTCAAAGACGTGTCTGTTTGTGTCTGAGCTCTCTTTTGCGTATTTCCTTATGTTAGTTGCTATGACGTACAACACGTGGCTCTTCGTGGCTGTTGTGATTGGTCGAGGTCTAGGATATTACTTGGTGACGCCGCTCATTGGTTCGCGCATTGACAGTGATGAAATTGATCACCATGGCTACAGTGACCTTTGGCAAGATTATCCACATCCTGTAGACATTTAATTACAGAACGTTTTTTTTTTGTTTTGTTTGGAGAGTTTTTTTAAAATTTTAATTCATTGGTACTTACACTGTTTACAATACAATATTAATGTAGCTACTTACACTACTTACAAAAAAACTTATTACTTACGTCACTTACGATACTAACACTTACTCTATACAATACGCATACTCACGCTACTAACAATACTAATACTTACACTGCTTACAATACAACATAATTAGATTTCTTGCGCTACTTACAATTCTAGCACAGCAAGATCATCATATTTAATTACAGAACTTGGATCTGTATTATATATATTTTCGACACAAACACTAAATGATTCACAACCTAGTCCTTAGGGTCTTCTTTACCAGTCATTCGAGAGATACTCCGAGAAAAATTTGGTGGGGGTGTGCGGCCCGCTTCCCAAAACCCTTACCCTATTTATGACCAAAATCTGCGATTTTCAATACCCTATTTCTGACCTGACCCTATCAATACCCTGTTTCAGACCTGCCTTATACTTAGTTCCCTTGTTCAGACTGACTTTAAGGTCATCGTGAAGGGCTTTTGTTGATCGGTCTTATCGATAATGATGAAAAAGTAGCTTCTTCTGAAAAACATGTCCAATTTAAGACTAGAGTGCAAAAACAAGACCCTATTAATGATCAAAATGGCTAAAATCGATACCCTATTTATGACCAAAACGGCTCAAAAACCATACCCTTTGGGGCCGCACATACCTACATAGCCCATGTAAGGTAGTATCCCCACCCCCCCGGGCTGTGGATGAGGGAAAGGAATGTAGTCTCTCTTAGGATTTGAATGCAGAAAGGACAAGCCTTCAACATTGCAACTAACTCAACCTAAATTCGATTGTAGCACTCTTAGCGTCAGGTTATCAGTAACTCGAATTCAAAAACGTTTAGCTTCGTACTCGTGCAAATCTTACCCGCGCTCAAGAACCGTCTGGGATTCAACCAAAGGAAGCGACCTGAAAATCTCATACTGATTACGTAATCTTTGGCCCAGATTTCCCCACAGAGTGAGATCTGGGTATGAGGTATGAGATTTCTGATTACCTACAGCTCAACTCCACAGCTCTTCATCTGAGTAGTTTCTTTTATTTCCAGTTCCCAGTTCTGAATTTTCGAACAAAGGAATTGGGGATTTCATTTTTGGGCAGTATTTTTGGGCAATATTTTTTCCCTCCTAAGAGATCTTTATAATCAAGACATTTTAAAGTTACGTGTAAAAAGTCATAGTTACGTAAATAGATTTTGTAAATAGCTCATCCTGTTCCACGTGTTTCCTTAGTTGGGGCACAGCACGAAAAACAGCGGACGAAAAAAGAAATCCGTTTGGTGAGAGAGAGCTCCCCTGCCTCCAAACCCATCGCCTTTCCTCCACTTTGCGCTTTTTCCCCGTTTTTTTTTTTCTTTTTTTTTGCGCTGCTCAAACTGAACGAACACTACAGCAGGTATAGGTTATTGATAGTTTGTAAAAGACAGAAAATACTGGATGTAAAATTATATTTCCTGCAGTTCTTTTAACAAAAGAACAAAATACCTAGACTACACGCAGATTTTAGATATTTTAGATAATCAAAACAAAGTAACTAACCAGACAGGCGGATAATACAACAAAGCCTGGGAGACACTTGATTTTGTTACATAGCTGCTAACAGTTTTCGTTACATTGCTATCAGGTCTCGAGAAAGGCCGATCAATCAGAAACGAAAATGTTTCAGTAGTTGTGTTCGTTTACGGGAAAGGAGTTGGGTCGGAGAAGCAGCAACTCCGCGATAAGGATTGGAAACCACTGACCCACTCCAAGAAAATTAAAGAGCGTTTTCACATGACATCACGGCAGCCATATTGGTACACGGCGGCCATACTGGCATCCTGTGGGAGCTGAACTCTTTTCTTATGTAAACACTTCCTTTTGTTTCAATAGATTTGCATGGATACTGGCCACGTGAGGGAAAACGATCTATTTCCGAGAATCAACTTCCGGAATTCTTGGAACTGTCCTTTTGCCTTTGATTTATTTAAGAACATTTGACTAACATCTGAAACGAATCTCATAACTATGAAATGCGCTTGTAGAACTTGCATGCAATAAGCCGGCAGCCAATCATAGAAACAACTTCATCTGTGAAGAACTACCCTATCAGAAAATGATTTCCATAGAGTAGAACGTGTAGCCGACGGGAGGAATAGAGAGATGTAATACTCAGACTGCTTGCTGGTGACGAAATTTCGGTACTCACGTTGCGCCCGAAACAGAAGTCAACAGGCCGTACTTTATTATTGAAAACCAGCTTCCTAGCTGGAAGTTAACAGGAACAGTTTTGGCTTTTTAATGTTTTGTTGTGAATGAAATCAAATACGGTAATAGGACTTCGAGAAAAATGGCGTCAGTAATGTCCCTTTACTGTGCTTTGACATGATGATCCATGTTATGCTCAGACTACCAGATTGTTTTCTATGAAGCAGAAAAACAAACAATTCTTTTTGGTAATCACTGCCCCAGGGAGGGGACTCTCACCAAAAAAGAACGGGGCCGCTCGTCGTACCTTTTAGGGGTTAAAAAAAGCGGTTTTGGTATTTCTTCGGGTGTTCAGCCTCAAAAGGTCCACAGCGGAGCTTTTGCGACTGGAGATATTTGAAATTCAACTAACTTTTAATTTTGTCAAAAAATTTGTACGTCTTAGGGGTGAAAAAAATCTCCAGCCACAACTTCAAAAGAGGATCTTGGTGCCTCTTAGGGGTTCTTTTCACAATTTCCGACGAGCACCCCCGTCCTCTTTAAATTGGAGTGTCTCCCCGGATCACTGCTCGCGTGATAAACATATCAGAATTCCTGTTTCTTTTTTCTTTTCAGTGTACGTGATCCATGAATACACATACCCGACCTGGGTCAAAGTTGCACTGGCTTGATGCCAACAACCTGACTCACTAATTAGTCTAATGTTTATTCACCAGAGCTGGTGATTATAACTTTCTGATACGATTGGTTTGGAGGAAATAGACTCATGAAATAAAATCCCTTGATTGATTGGTATGAGTGGAAATTAAATATGTCTTTGGGCTCTTTACTTTTTTGATATCAAGAATGGCTCCGTTGTGCAAACAAGAACTTTCCTGGAACCCTATTGACGTGGCGCGTCCAAGCAAAAACTGTAAATCGAAACTTCAGCCAACGCCCTGAGTCAGTCAGTTGCAGAGTGCTGTGGTTGCGTCTGTTAGCGCAATGGCTTCTTCTATGATCACTTGGTTTGTTTTTGTGATCTTCACAAGTCAGACAACAGCGTCGCATTTTCGCGGTGGAATTATAACTTGGAAGCCTGATGAATATATTGGGAACAAGGTAATTAATGTGAATATAGAGTTGAATAGGGTTGTTAGAAACATTTCTAAGTGGAACCGTAATGATTCGATTTAGTAGCCTCCTTCCGATATACGCCCTCCTTTTGAATGACCCTTTAGTGGTAGTTCTTTTCGCTTACGGGTCATTTGTACAGCGCCACCGTAGTACACTGAGATCTCGTCTATGGTTCATCATCCTTCTGGACAGCTCAACATACTCGCATTCAAAACAACTTTCTCGAATGTTGTTTCCATGTGACACTATATGAGTACACAATTCCTTCGGGTAAAAGACCCCTCATTTGTCAAGTTCATACACTTGGGTGTTCATGCCAGAAAAAGAGTGAGTGCCCTGTCTTCAGTTAGCGCCCTCCCTTCAGCTCTCAAAATAAAACAAGCGCTCCAGCCGGGCGCTAAATCGAATGATTACGACAAGTTACATTTAGAGCAAAGTTAAAGATTCCTCTTAACTGAGGCATGAGACAGAAAGTGTATTTTCTGCAGATTGCAGATTGTTCTAATCTGACTCAGCGTAAAGGCCTTATCTGAGAGAAGGCAAATAGAAATTTATAAACGCAGCTCTTAGCGCAATTTCAAGTTCCGGTTTGTCCTATTTACAATGCAGGGTCTAAAGACAGGGCCGCTTGGAAAACTCTTAGCATTGAAAAATGTTTTGAATTTTCTTTCGAATTGGTTTTCCAGTTGCTAGAATTTTCACACCTCTGGAGATTTCTGAATTCAAGCAATTAAATTACTAGTAAAATTTAGCAAAAGGAGTCATGATTTAAGCAAATAGCGNTTTTTGTGATCTTCACAAGTCAGACAACAGCGTCGCATTTTCGCGGTGGAATTATAACTTGGAAGCCTGACGAATATATTGGGAACAAGGTAATTAATGTGAATATAGAGTTGAATGGGGTTGTTAGAAACGTTTCTAAGTGGAAACGAAATGATTCGATTTAGTAGCCTCCTTCCGATATACGCCCTCCTTTTGAATGACCCTTTAGTGGTAGCCCTTTTCGCTTACGGGTCATTTGTACAGCGCCATCGTAGTACACTGAGATCTCGTCTATGGTTCATCTTCCTTCTGGACAGCTCACAACATACTCGCATTCAAAACAACTTTCTCGAATGCTGTTTCGATGTGACGCTATGTGAGTACCCAATTCCTTCGAGCAAAAGACCCCTCATTTGTTTCACACACACTTAGGTGTTAATGCCAGAAAAAAAGTGAGTGCCCTGTCTTCAGTTGGCGCCCTCCCTTCAGCTCTCAAAATAAAACAAGCGCTCCAGCCGGGCGCTAAATCGAATGATTACGACAAGTCACATTTAGAGCTAAGTTAAAGATTCCTTTCAAGGCATGAGACAGAAAGTGAATTTTCTGCAGATTGCAGATTGTTTCAATCTGACTCATTGTAAAGGCCTTATTTGAGAGAAGGCAAATAGAAATTTATAAACGCAGCTCTTAGAGCAATTTCAAGTTCCGGTTTGTCCTATTTACGATGCAGTGTATAAAGACAAGGCCGCTTGGAAAACTCTTACCATTAAAAAATATTTTGAATCTTCTTTCGAATTAGTTTTGCAGTTGCTAGAATTTTCACACCTCTGGAGATTTCTGAATTCAAGCAATTGAATTACTAGTAAAATTGAGCAAAAGGAGTCATGATTTAAGCAACTAGTGTTGGGAGAATCCGAAGAATGCTGGCTGCACTCCAACAAGGCGAGATTTGTATGAAATATGTGCATGGGTTGCCGTGTTCCGAACAGCCAAAATTACGAATTATTTTCTCAGAAACCCGCGGCTATTTAGAAATCCAGATTTTAAGAGGAAATTAACTGAATTTTCAACAAGAGGAGTTGAAAAAGAATAATTAGCATGAAATGAAATGAAATGAAGCGACCATCTAAGGTAAACAAAGTATGGGGGACTATAAACATTTGCATTAAGTGTTAGTCTGAACAATAATTTTGGAAAACATAATTCTACTAGAAAATTTCCAGAAAGAAAACGAAACTGGTTTCTTATGGTTGTGTTTGCGTTAGAAATAATTTGGAGAACCCAGCAGTAAAAGTTTGGAGAACATTGGTCTTCAAAAGATATTTCTTGAAATCAACTTCCGGGATTCTTGGAACTGTCGTCTTTCAGTGTTTGATTAGAGCTGAAAGTAATCTCAAAACAGTAACACGCGCTTTCGACAGTTGTCATCTTGACATGCACTAACTGGCTGATTTACAATCCTTTGAAGTTATAATTTGTTGTAAGTCTTGAAAGCAAACTGCACCTCTAAAAACTAAGAATTTTATCGCTTTTAACGTGGTATCCGAGTAATTGGTAAATGAATGGATATTGACGATATCGATGAAGACAGGGACGGTTGTGTTGAGTTGGAGGCAATAACCCAGTGGTAAGGATAGTAAACGAAGTCAACGGAAAGAACAGCAACAATAACAACAACAACAACTTCAAAATGCTTAGAAACCATTGGTACACCAAAGAACTATGGGAATCAACTTCCGGGATTCTCGGAATTGTACTTCTGCGTTTGATTTACTTGAGCTTATTTAAACATTTACGTAAGGTATGATGAGAACCTCAAAACACTTACGCGCGAACGAATGATACTTGTCATGTTGGCTTCACTTTACCGTATTAGTTACGATCGCAGTTTTCACGTTTCGCTTGCTATTGCGTTACCGAATTCGATCGATAACAGCTCGATACCAAGCAAGCAAACACACGACTGGATAACGTGACAAGGTCTTTTAATATTCCTGAAACTTGGTCGTAAAGAGACACAAACAGATACTTCAAGCTGAACAAAATGCAAAACTCGCGATGAAACCTCAAAATGTTTGCAAGGATGAAGACGGAAGTGGAATAAAGCTTTGATAAAGTTAGGTAAACCAACATGTTTTGTTTCAGGTAAATTTCAACTTCCGATTGGGTTTTCGAAGATCGTTCTCAAACAGCTACTTCTGCGACAGTGCAATGGTCGCGCAGCAGAGCATTGTTGGAAGTGGAGGCACCTGGTCTGCAAGCTATGACAGGGGTTATTATGGGTCTAGGACTGTAGCAGATACTGGATACCACTGCACGGACTTCAGTGTCAGCGAGGACTGGACACAAGGTGAAAACACTTTTAACTACACTTTCCCGGATGATGGTCCTTGGCTGGTGAGGTGAGCCAGTTATTTTAAGTCTCTGAGCATGGTGTGGCCTTCAGTTTGTATTTATAGCCTTACTCTAAATAGGTTTCATTTATTTATTTATAAGCAAAACTTTCGAGAATGGCGACACTTCTACAGTGATGAAATATTAAAACTACGTATACAGTATTGTGAATAAAATCTTTTTTTCGCCAAAACTAGGAACGTTTCGAATCGTATAGCATTATTCAATTGTATTTAGATGTCTGGTTGTTTGAAAGGCGCATATGTAGTGGGACCTTTGCGTAACAATTCTATCGAAAAGTTGGATTTTAGATAGCTACGGCTCTAGCAATTTTTCCATCGCGTGGTTGTCTCCGTCTTGTTGAATACGGAAATGAATATTTCTTTTCTAAAGCATACGGCTAAATGTATTGTTTCTGTCCAGTTACTCGAGCTGCTGTTGGATCTCATTAGCAAATGGAGGTGGAAACTGGTTTCTGTCGACCACTGTCAATCTAACCAGACGACAAGATAACGGAATAATTAACTCGTCTCCAATCTCTGCACTCTCGCCCATTGTCCGACACCAGCGAGGCTGCTCGAAAACAATAGCTATTCCCGCGGAGGACTCGGACGGCGACAAAGTGCGCTGCAGATGGTCAAATGGTTCTCAAAGAGAATGCGGTGGTGTTTGCCGGGGATTCAGTTCCAGTGGCACTCTGGACGAAGTAAGCCAAAGGCATTAAACCTGGTCTATACAATTTGAATGTAAAATATATATTTTATCATGTGGATGGCTCAGCAAATATTTGTCAATAGTTCAAAGTTTAGTGCGCCAGTAATGACGCTGGACAGCAGAGATATGCAGAAACAAGGCGGGGCTGCTTAGTCGCGCTCGAAAAATATGGCACTTACATGCATATTTGCACATTTTATGTGACGAGTTGTCTACATGAGCTTTTTTTCGTGTGTGACAGCTTTTGTTTGCCGCATAAAAGCTAACACGCCAGCCTTTCGGCAAATATATTTATCACATGGCCAGTTTTCCTCATCTACACGATCAAATAAGTATTGTCACATAAACATTGCTCCTCTAGACCTTTAAACAACATTATCATACAAAACACAATAAGCGAACAGCCCAAAAAAATAGGTGGACATACTTCTTCAAGCTCAAAATCACACACTTTTGTTGACTGGTTTTATCATACGATTTGCTAATAAATTGCTTGCAAACGTTTCTCTTTTAAAAGTTGTGTTTGCAAGATATAAATAAAACAGGCATTCATTACAAACTGAGTCGCTAAACCGTCTTGATCAGACTATCGTTATTTCCCTTGAAAAAACTTAGACATAAGAATTATGCAAGGACAATCGCAGCATATTCATATGCATGATGACCCTCGGGGTAGGGTGTACTCCCTAATATGGGCTATGTAGGTATGAGCGGCTCCAAATGGTATGGTTTTTTAGCCGTCCTGGTCATAAATAGCTGGTGTATCGATTTTGGCCGTTTATGGTTTTTGCACTCTAGTCTTGAATTCAGATTGTCTTTTAGAAGAAGCTACTTTTTCATTATTATCGATGACTATCAGCAAAAGCCCTCCACAATGCTTTTAACATCGGTCTGAACTAGAGATCAATCATAAGGCAGGTCTGAATATTTAAAAGTCCAGTCCTAAATAGGGTAGAGAAAATCACAGATTTTTGTCTTAAATAGGGTAGGGTTTTTGGGAAGCAGGCTGCACAACCCCATACAATTTTTCTGGGAGTACCCCCTTCCCCCTGGGCATGATTCCTAGCGTTTCTTTGTTTGGTGTAATACGGTATTTTTATTTCGTTGCAAACAGGAAAGATGTACCCTTAGACTCCACAGCAATGCAGCCCTCGGTTGGCACGCAGTAGCTATCACCTTAGAGGACTTTCCAGCTTCCACAACAAATTTTCAAACGGCCACTCCATTCAGTCATGTGAGCCTACAGTTCTTGGTACATGTGGCTTCTTCTTCAGGACCCTGTAACAGGGCCCCATTGCTGATTGGACAGAGCCCGAATGATGGATCTTGTGAGGAGGTGCCGGACGGTGGTATCTTTTATAGCATCATTGAAGCCAAACATATCGATTCTTCAAGAAGGTAGCCTTCCAACGGACAAAACATGTGTAATATGAGATAGTTCAATGACCCTCTTATAATCATACAATTGAAAAGAAATCTGTCAGTGGTTATAATGTAACAGGCCTTATCGCGCATGCCGAGTCTCGTCTCAATTACTACCCTGTTATATACACATCCTTTACGGTCCTTCAGTGTCACACTGAAGTTATTTCGAGAAAAGAAAGGCAATTACTTACTTGATGATCAAGAAAGTTGTGCATGATCTTTATAAATGAGCCTCTGGTTTGAACAGTGAGGGTAACCCCGTCCCGTGTATTGACATTAATAAATTGATTAATTAATTGATTGATTGATGGATTGTAAATTATTTGAAGGAATAACGACAGTAGAAACCGCATCACTTAATGGGTTGATGTCTCTGTAATCTCAATTTGTAAAAAGACTTAACGTATTCCAAGACGTGGAGTAAATTTTCTCACCAGCTAAACTCAACTGTTTTGTTTTAGGATTGCTGAGATTATTACAGTCACACCACTATACATGAACCTTACCAGCCTCTTGAACTACACTGATAACGTCGGGGATACTGTCTACTACAAGAACGTATCGTGGAGTCCAAGGTCATCTCAGAAGGGACGCCATATTTTCTGCTTCAAAGCAATAGACGATTATGGGTAAGAGCCTTCAACAGGTTTCTGCGAGCTTTTAAGGGCTATTTACCCTGCATTCCCGAGGGGGGAACTCCCATATAAAAAAGAAGGGGATGTTCCGTGCTCGTCGTACCTTTTAGGGGTTAAAAGCGCGGTTTTAGTTCCTCTTAGGGTGTTCGGCCTCAACAGGTCCACAGCGGGAGCTTTCGCTGTACCTTTTAGGGTATTGAGCCGAAAAAATAGGACAGAAGATAATTTGCTGTCTTAGAACTGATACCTCTTAGGGGTGAAAAACATTTCAAGCCACGCCCACCAAGCAGGATCTTGGTACCTCTTAGGGATTCTTTTCAAAATTTCCGACCAGCACCCCCGTTACTTTTTATATGGGAGTCCCACCGCCCCACCGGGCTTGGAGTCCTGTCTAATAAAGGAGATTGTTCGCAGAGGTTATTGCAACGTTTCTGAAAATGGTTACAAGCTATGATATCGTAAGTTGATGAAAATTCTTTTCTCTTTACAGAATGGAAAGCAACCAGAGATGCATTACCATTCTTGTTGGATCAAGTAAGTACAAACTCAAAGTGTAAAATTTTAGAATCGATCAAGAGGAAGTGATATTCTCCTGGCACTAAAGAGCCTCTAATTTTTATTTCCAGACAATACTCCAAGACCGATTTTATCAACCCGTACTCCTCTGATACCCACGTTGTCCTGGCCGTGGGGATCTGGATTCGTTGATTTTAACATTACGTTTGACCAACAGGTAATGTAAGCCGCTTAAAACCTGCGCAGCAGGACGGTGAAAAAATTTCTCTTTCCAAACTTAGACTGATAACAAGTAGCTTGCCCTTCGAAATGAAACTGAGCTCCGAGGCCACTGCTTGCGGGAAACTCCCAGCGTTCAGGATTTTGGTCTAATTTTGTAAATAGGCCTAAAAAAAATCCCACCTGACCTTCTTACCATTCCCATCCAAAGAGCTTAAGGGGATTTCGGAGGTCAATTTACAAGGCGTTATTTACCAACCTCTTTACTGACTCAGTAACAACGACAATAAGGATCTGTGACGTTGTTTTGTTTGACAAAGGCATATGTTCATATGGGAATGACATCTCAATTAAAATAAAACAGAATTAACAAAAAAGAAGGATATCACACAAAATACCACAGGCTAAAAGATAGTATACAAACTGAAAAACAGATTCGATATTAGCAAGCATTCTTTTCTCCAAACTAGATCAAGAGACCACGTCATTCGAAATTTATACGAATCATCTTGGAAGGTCACGTGATATACAGACTTGGCACGCGTTCTTCCAGTGACGTCACCATAGATCAAAACGGCTTCACACTTCACTTCCGCCTGCCCCAGGTTGTAATGAGCATGCGCGGAAATTACTCTGTCACTATGGATCGTGGTGCAGTTGTGGGCCTTGGATGTACCTCAGATGGTCCCCCTACACCTGGAATCAGCTCCACCAAAAGCTGGACCTTCAGTGTTGGAGTTTGTTCCAAAGGGTCGTTTCTTGCTAACAGTTACGCTTGCCAAGGTGAGATTATTAAACATATGTAGGTTCAACGAGCATGAATCCAATTGTTTGGTAGACAGCTACTAACAAACACCATACAAAAATTCCCAGCTTCATTTTGTTCATTTTGCAATTAAGGCGACACAGACCATTTCTAAAAATTTTAGGATCCATTCTTGATACGCAGAACAAAAACTGAAAAGAAAGCTTGATTTTCATTTTGCATCTCTTGAGGTCACATTTGGGGTTTTTCTATTCAACCAAAAATTCCGAATATTTTGCAACGGGGTCAAATGGTGCAGAAATTTCCTGGGAAAGTTTCTAGAAAATTCGGAAATTGATCAATTAATTTCAGAAAAGTGAACCATTCAACCAAAAATTCGGGAATTTCCAGCAGGAAACCTAATGGAACGGAAATTTCTGGTCAGAAATACCCGAAAATTTAGGTATACCGTGGGCGCTTTCTTTTCGACCGAAAATTTCGATGTGAATTTCCATAAATTTCCTAAGGCGAATGGAACAGAATGTTTCGTTTGACTACGCCGGAGTGCCGGAAAAACGATAAGCCCTTTCCATTCGCATTTTTCCTCTCCCGCACTTTTATTCGCCATGAAATTATTCAATGAGTTCGAGGTTTAAATCACAAATATTTAGCTCTTATTAACCGAGCAGAAGGTCTGTATGGGACAATCTTGACCGAGGTCGTGAGTACAGACCGAACACAGTGAGGTCTGTACACACGACCGAGTTTTGGTTGAATGGAAAGCGCCCGTATCTCGTAAGGTTGTCCTCTTTTGCGGCAATTCTGGAAAATGCTGTTCCTTTCGTCAGTGGAAATTTCCGGAAATTCGAACCGGAATTTTTCCAACGGAAAGCGCATTTGGCAACACTGACCTTTCAATTATCGGGTTCGGCACGGACCCATAAAAAACAATAAAGTTTTCACAGAAAGGCTCATCACTTCCTATGTCAAGGAGAGACAATCGTTTTAGCCCTGTATACACAGGCTTTTCAACTTTATTTCATCTTTTTGTTTAGATGTGGATGAATGCTCGAACCCGCCGTCCATCTTAAGCCGTAGAAAACGAAACATCTGGTACTGGCCTTACAGTTCTGCCACTGCCACTTTGCTTCCAGGTATTTTTTCCTAGCTTTTTCTGTTCACGAATATTCGCTAGTCGACACTTTGAAGCTCAGCTTCAAATGTCTTGATCCTGACATTCTAAATTGTACCACCTAGCCTGTTTATATTACAAATAGTTCATCAGTGTCGATGTATCAACGTTCTAACATGACGAACCCTCAGAGTAAAGTTAGATTGTTTATGCATCGGACATGGACTATTGTATTCCTTGATAACATTACAAGGAGCTATAGAAGCAAGTAACATCTTCATGTATTTGTTGCCACAGCCATCTATTCAAGTCCGCTTTCCACAGAAATAACACCTACCGCAAGTTTTGCACAAGGTATTTAGCTTGTTATTGTTGTTGTTATCCAGCTTGACAATTTGCAATCTGACTAAAAGATAAATTTCTCTATTGAATCGAAGTACGTACACTAAATAGCGGATCAATTTTTTTATTTTTTTATTTTTTTTGCTACGGAACGATGTTACTACTTTCTGAAGCCGTGAAAAATTCCTCTACATTATGTCGATTGACGACCTTATGCCAATCAGGTGCAACTCCCGGAATTGGACTGAGATGCGCATGCCCTTGTTCCTCTCTCTTTCAAAATTCAGTTCATTCGTATACAAACACAGTTTAACAGTTATTGCTATGTATTATATTGTATATATATATATATCTGTAATGTAATATACAATGGGCATTATTTTTATCACATCTTCCAGGTTCGTCTGCATCAATAACTTCAACAGTGTCGGTCTCTGGTAAGAATTAACTGTTTCCTTTACTTATAAGTTATCCATGTAATTTACTAGAAAAGACTGTGGAGAAATACAAGGAAGTTACTGAGTCAGCCAGCTTAGTCATGAAATTAGGCAGGTGAAATAGATAAATGTAAGTGTGGCTCTTTTCAACTTATAAGCGTTTTTAAAACTTACTCACATGTTTCATGATCATCGAACAAACTAAACAAACAACTGATAGTATAACCAACCAAAATTTAAAGAAAAATTAACTACTGAGTGGGAAGACTACGAGATTCAAGCATGTAGTTATTAATTCCCATAATAATTACAATAAGGTTTGATCTTTTTGCATTCATTCTTTTTAATAGGATCCTGCCCTTATAACATAAGCGGTCAACTGAATGGTCGATTTACCAGTCCTAACTACCCTTGGTACTACGGAAGTAACGAGCGTTGTTCCTTGTTAATCGAGGCTCCTCA